CTGGTGGAGATCTAGGTAGAAACCAAATTGTCTGGCTGCACTGTAAAGCTGGGCACCTTTGCTCATGTCCTTGGCTCAGACACTTAGGCTGTGCCTAGTTATGAATTCAATTAAGGATTTGCATTTCTCAGAAAGAAATCTCATCATACAATTGACGTCCTAGTCCAAGCCCTAGGTCAAGTCCCACAGACAAAGTGAAAAACTCATATAATTGGCTTGTACCTGATCTTTCCCATGCTAGAGCTGTGTGTCAAACACCTAGAGGGTATCACAGAAGGATGATGTTCCCTCTTCACCCAAAGCAGCCCTGCACACTTCTCAACTACAGTAATGTCTATACCTGATAAGTATCATTCCTTAAGACAGCACCTAGATCACTAAATGCACCTTCAGTTGCATGACTCACTTCACATGGAAGACAAGAACTTACCTCAGAAGTCTACAAAATACCATCCCACATTAAAATATATCAGTGATTAGGCATAATAAACATCACCATTCACCTTCCCCCATCTAGCCTAAAGTGTCTTTCAAATGGATGACAAAACTCCTTTAAGGGCTATCTAGAGGGAGAATGATTCAGAAGGCTACCTCTACTGTTATAAGAATTAAGTATCAGTCTTCCGATAACCCTGACAAAGTTTTTTTTGTTTTTTTTTTTTTTCTTTTTACATATTTGACATTGCCACACCCAGAATTTATAATTCTTTTGTGAAAGGAACAATTATAAGAATTGTTCTGTAAGGGAACAAAACACTGTCAAAAGATATTCTCAGGACTTCATGGACAAAAACGAAAAGTAGGAAGAAAAAGGAAAGAATAATAATAAGAATCCCTCAAGGATACTGGCCTACGTGGAGATTCTTACTTTATTTCAAAATAATCAGTTGGTCATTTTCTTACTGTTAACGATTTCAAGGATAAATGGAGTTCACTCTGCCTTAAGGGAACATCTCCCACAACAGCATGTATTCTGTTTCTTGCAACTTAGTGGAGACACCCTCAACTTTCTACTTAAAGACTTGACTCTGCACATTTTTTACTGCTAAATCCAAATTTGCTGGGATCATAGACTTACTCTACTGAAAGCCTAATTCTGGCTACAGGATGTATAAGACTGATGTAATACTGAAACGAACCTACCATCCATCCGTAACCTTTCAGTCACATAAAACAAGATGAAATACTACTCCACAGCATAATTCAATGACAAGTTTCTATGACCAGTGCTTGTCTGTCTGAACAGACAACTAATCTCTGTGAGAAAAATTAATCTTGTCTGATGACTCAAAGTAATCTCAGAGTATCACAACTCTTCCCCTCATATGGTTTATGAGTTATTCCACTATGGGTTTTATAAAGATGGTTAAAAAATAATCAGAACGTTAGAGCTGTAAAGACCAATCAGTTAATCTATTTCATATCCTACCAAGACAAGATACATTCCCACAATAATCTGTCTAGGTCTTTGTCCGACATAGCTTTGAATAGAAAACTGTTGGGAGTTTCCAGCTCTGAGAAACTATTCCACAGCCTAATAGACTGAACTGCTAATTTATTTTTTTCTGAATTTTTCTCTATCCATACTTTTGTTTCTGCAGGCCACCTTATATGCTTCTTCTTCCTCTATGATTTTACAATGTTGAATTAGTCATGGATTGTTACTGGCTTCATCTCTGTCTGCCTCATTAGCCACCATTTTGGTCAGTTCAACAGATTTTTGTGCTTTATGTAACAACACAGACATTTCTGTGTATGTTTGGTTGTTCTTTGATTTTCTTGTGGGATTAGGATATGTTTTACCTACATTTTCACAGGAGCTATCATCAGTTACATTTTAGCTCCTTCAGGGATTTTTACATTATCTTTCAGTCTTTACGGGTATCCTTCTTTCAAATTCCATTTAAGTCTTACCTTAGTCAGACTTTACCTGCCAAGTTTCCACCCAAGGCAAATTGAAGTAAAATAATTTTGGACGTAGACAGAACAGGACATGAAGAGTCATAAATGCCTGAGAAGAAGTTCCAGAGGTATTCTGAAGTACCTTGGTTTGAGAAGCGAAGCAAAGCAAATAGGCTCTAACACTATCTGAAATGAGTGTTTCATCACCTAAAATATGCCTGAGACCCCAGAGGACTCTTAATCTGCTACCACTGTTCAGATCATGCCTAAGTAATGTGTACAGCTCTGAATCCAGCACAAAAACATGACCAAAGGAGAGGAGTACATCTCTCAGGTCTTACACATATTCAATGTGAAAATAAAATAAAATAAAATAAAAGCAGCAGTCGGATCAGTCCTCAGTGCTTCTTTCTTGTTTAGAGGAGTCCCCTTCTTACTAGGCCACAAACTCAGGTTCTTTTTTACTTATTTTCACCATCTGGACCCATCAGTCTTGAACTGTGTTCTGCACAAGTTTCCAAAATTAATACAAAGGGGCTTTGCCTGCGATATGCCCCAGTCTGGCTGGTAGCATGATTTGTGGAGTAGTGCGGCAACCTACTCTAGATGCTCTGTGGATAGTCTGTGAATTTCCTTCCCTTGTTTTCATGATCGCTGCTGGGATAATATAGATCTCAACTACTAAAGGAAACACCATACTGGGCCTACATGCTTCCCTCCCTAAGTGCATTACCTTCCTAAGTTTAGCCCTAATCACAAGATTCAAGGTCTTAATTATTATTTGCATTTGGCCTCCAAAATTTACAACACACTTAAGCCCTGCAGATCTCCAGTAACTTCTTTTTAGCTACTCACAAAATGAAATACTTAATTTTCACTGATATCATGCTTCCCCCTCTCCCTCCCCCTTTTATTTTTATGACTCACTGGTCAGAACTGGCTCCTTGCAAGCTGTTTTTGGTTGTGTTATCATATGTCCAGCTAAGTCTCAGGAATGTTCCTCTAAAAGAGTTTCCCCACAGCAACATACTTTCTAACCACAAAAATCATTTCCTTAAGGGAATATCTTTCAGTCTTAGGTGAAATCCAGATTTCTTTACTGTACTTAGAGATGTCCAATATCCATTGGTAGGAATAAATATTTCTCCAGAAATCAATCTATTACTACATTATTCATAGAGGGACAGCATACAAATTTAGAATCGTGATGTATTTCCTTATAAATGCTTCAATATAAATGAGGATGTTAGAGAGTGGAGAGGCAACTTTTAAAATCCCCACTCCAGAGTAGTCCAGCATCCTCCACAGTGTAGGACATGGGCTTTCAAATAGTTTATCCCCTTCCTGTAGGGTACAGTAGTGTATTTCAGACAACGGATGTATCTCATACACTTTGTCTGCACTTCAGAGGCAACTTTGAAAATTCTTTGGTTAAGTGCAAATAGGAAAAAATAGCAACATTAGCTGAAAAAGACTAACCAGGTATTCAGCAGCAGTTGTTGATGGCCCAAAAGGCATTTGAACTAAAGGCAGATATATCCCACAAATTTCAGCGTAGAATAATTTAAACTGCTCTGTATCTATCTGCATTATTCTGGGTTAATCTGCAGGACTGTAATCGGACTGAAAACTAATCTGGCAAAAAGTGATGCCTGTTTGACATCCCAGACATTCCACAAGCACTTAGTACCTGCCCAAAACAGAGGTCAGCCAGAGCAGGGTGGGAGATTGGGACTGGGGCACCCTGAATTTATATTGGTTTCAGCTACCATGAAGCTGCACTGACAGTTGAAATAAAAGATCCTGTTCTATATTTTGCTGATTGATTTTACTGCCCCTGGTTTTCTCTGGATCAAGGATGAGACAGTTTTGTTCACTTCCAACCTCCTGTCTCAGCCATGTAATGAGTCTGCTAATCTCTAATGAAACACAGGAATAGCCCAAGCTTTGGGTATCATTTCACCATGACTCTGTAAACTGAATGATCTTCCTGCATATCCTAGCATGCAAGTGAACAGGAGGAGTAGGTGGGAACAAAGTCTCACAGGCAGGAGTTAACTAGATCAAAAACCAGGCAACCTTATCCTTTACGTCTGTCCTCAAGGTAAAGAAACTTGTGTGCAGACATAATTCTACTGAGTATCGGAGCTCTATTCCAGATGCTTGATGAAAATATAGTAGAGGAATATTGGAAAACACAAAGGTCTCTTATGTGCCTGCCTTTCACAGATTTTCAATAACACTTAAGAGCTTAACATCTTCTATGCTTTTGAAACCATTCTTAATAAAATAACACTAGACCTTTCACAAATCTGTCACTTCCTGGGCCACCTTGACCTAGATCAATACAGTCCTATTAACTGCTATTATGCGCTGTTCACAGGTCCTCCATCAGTACCTTGTTGAAATGACAGTTTTCAATGTGACAGGCCTTACTGAATTAATTTTCAAGTATGATTTTAAGAAATAATGTGTCAAATGTATTATAAAAATCCCCGTACTATAACACCTACTTAATTTTCCTTATTCGCCACTTGTTCTGTTCAGTTCAAGAATTCTAGCTTGCTTTGCATGTTTTAACAGAAATTTTTGGGCATATTATTAAAAAATAAATGTTCTAAAATGGATATACATGTGCAATAGCTTCATCTTCTAACACTTGTACCATGAACATTCTCACTGTGTGAAACGGGTGTGTAATAATTTTAACATAATTTTAAATTCTTGATGTTGATGTGACCTGCCAGTTTCCAATGTTCATAGTTTTCTATTACATGCCCACAAACCCCATGATTTAAACTATATACTCAAGTTTTGTGTTGCCTTTTCCAGGTTTCTTCCCCTTTTGCATTATCAAATCTATACTTACTTTCACACGAACAATGCATCCTGTAGGCCCTTTCAGTTCAACTACATGGCATATAGCACCTATTGAATCACTTCTTACAAACAATGTGTTGTACTATTTAAAGTGAATCAAGAAATTGCACAAGTAACCTTCAGAGTTGTTTCCTCACATAGTCTCTCTTTGCAATCATTTACTAAATAAAAATTGATTTTCTCATATTCATGCAAGAAATCAGAACCTTCAGACAATGTCAATCTATCATCATGAAGCACACACGGTAAGACTGGGCAGCACTGTATAAAATTGTCTGATTTATCAGATGAGGAATCAGATTTAGTTGCTTAACACAGGCAGCTAGTGAATTAGCATCTCCTGCATGGCTTCCAGCTGCCACCCCACAACAGCACTGGTCTATAGATTCCATGTCATTTGTGCTCATCCTATGCAAGATGCCTTCAATACCCTTAAGTATCTGAATGGTAATGGTAAAATGGTAAGTTGAGGAAACTAAATCCCATTTAGAATGTTTATCTGTTATGTTAAGAATTGTCCAAACACAGAAAGACCCAATCTTACCATTACTAATGTGAACGTGGTTTAACTCTTCTTGCTCCCTTTTTGTCAATCTCATTTTATTAATGTACTAATTCTTAACATGTTCACTTCTTAGACCAGTTACAATGCTATTTCAGTATTTGGAAAGGTCTACCTAAATGTAAATGGTGAGTAAGGTGCTAAACAATAGCAATAAAATCTAGTATCAGCCTCTTCACATCCAATCTTTGATGGGCCTGAAATTTCTCCAGAGACTTGAGTCATCCGTTTTAGATCTCAATTGTCTATGCCCTGGACCTGCCGTTTTTAAAACTCATGTTCTTTTTTTTTGTTTTTGAGGAGATTGATAAGAATCTTACCCCCATATAAAATTATAATTTTTACAGATGTACTGGAAAATTATGGAATTTGGAAAGAATTTCAAATAAAAGTTTTTTGAGTTTGTTTTGGGTTTTTTGTGTTTGTGTTTTTTTTTTTTTTTAAAAATCAGGACCAACTTAAAAACATAGGCGTTCCTTAAAATGCAGCTTTTAAAGTTTTGTATACACTTGAACATTTTTAGACGTCCACAATTTATTGGGTGGGTTCACACTATGACATAGTTGTCAATAAACTCCCCAAGCTACAGGTGTGGGTTTATTTACATTTCAGTATTCTGTTTTCAAAGTATATAAAAAAAAACCAAACAAAACAAGAACAACTCATGTAGTTTTGGTGGATTTTTTTTACTCAAAACAGAATTTATTCCACAAAACCATGAAACAGATGATCGGAAACTTATTATTCTTGCCTGGGGTAGAATCTGCTTTTCTTCACTTACTCGAAAACACAGTTCAGACCTCAAATGGATCAGAATGTAGCTCATTTTACAATGCACTGTTTTTAAATATAGAATAATCCATATCAAAAAGAAAAAATCATGGTTCCTATGCATTAATCAGTAAACCAGTTTTACCTTACTGAATCTAAATCTGTCCTGTCCCTAAGTTTGCATGGTAGGATGGGACTGAACACTAGAAGAAATCTCCCAATATGAATATGAATTAAGAAAAAGGAAACCTGAAAGAAAAGATATCTCTAGAAATCTTATCTATCTGAAAATTGGAGTTTATTTGTTTGTACAGGAACTGCAATATCTTTAAAACAGCTGATGCAGAAATGAGCATTCATATTTTCTGTAACTTTATAAAGCACAGTGAAACGTGATGCTATTATAATTCCCCATTAAAATCTCAAAATATATGTTCTGAAAGAGAAGAACAAAATCTATGTTTCCCTATTTTCCTCCATGGAACTATTTGAGATGTTAACAAATTATGATTTCAACTTAGACAATTTACTCCAAGTTATTCTTGGAGTAAACTGTGGTCTCTTCAGGCAGTGTGAATCACTGAACTTCAGTAGAACGAGTATTCAGCATTCAGGAAGAGGAAGGCACTTAATCTCTTTAAGGTCGTTCAAGTTTCTGACAGCTCCTTTCAACATGAAGTCTGCAAAACTCACAAAACTTTTGCTAGCATTTTGGATTTAGGACTTGAAGATCATTTATTTGCCACAAGGAAGTGTACTGTGATAAAGACGGTGGAGAATAGAATTGGTAGGTTTCAGTACATTGGTACGACAAAGGAGTGCACAGCTTTGAAAAGACTATTCTAGTTGAAGCAATACTAATATGCAAGAGAACTTACATATTATGAAGCAATAGCACAGCCCCACTCTAGGTCTTCAGCTTCATGATGATTTTATTTCTATGTAGCTTCTTCAGTGGATAAAGGACTTGAGACATGGGGTCATGAAGATCATCCCACCATCCTACTTGTAAGCTTCTCTTGAGCTACTATTCTTTTCTAATACAAGAATTAGAAACATGACTCTTAACCTCTCTGAGACTTAAGACATCCGATTCACACGCTAACTTAGTTGGAAATTAACAGAAAGGAATCTAGTTCCAGTGATGCAATAATGACCCATTTGTAAATTATGATACCTTTTGTAAACAATTAGAGAAATGGAAACTCTGCTCAGAGCATAAAAATCTCTTGAAAGCCATGGAAATAAACAACAAGTTGAATCTAGGTCTTGGGGTACAAACCTGTAGCACATGGCTATAACATGTTAAGAATTGGTATTTCCTCTCATAATTAATGCTAGTCCTACAGAGAAGAATATCAACTTAATACAAAAACATTAGAAGGCTCAGTTAAAGCACTGGAGCGTGACTAGGACTGATCCTGTAGATATGCAGTTACATTAGGATGAGATGTTAGTTATAAGTAACCTGGTTCTGATAGTTCGTATGTACAGTCACACATCCAAATATCATGATTTTTTAATCTTAATATCTGCAGAAGATATTCTGCAGAAGGTGTTCATGTTCTACACTTTCTCAACTTGGTATATAAATATAAAAGGTAGAACACATAAGCATTTTAACATATAAAAGTTATTTCAGGCTAGCTTCTAATTATGTGGTACTGGTCTCAAAAAGCTTTATTCAAATAGCAATTTCAGGACCACTCTATTGAGACCTGAGTTAGTTTTAGCAGACTTCATGATGCATAATGCTTGATGAAGCAATGGTCTCAGAGCTCATGAAGTTCTAACTGGCTGACAGCAGGAGCTAAGAATACAGATGGTTCTTAGTGACAAGGATAATGACTTTCTTAAACTAGATTTCTAGAAATCCAACAAGAAATTCAGAGGGAGCATGGCTGAGGATTATCTGCAAGAGAATCAGGTTGACTTAATGATCTGTTTCACTACATAAGTGTATTTCTGAGAGCCCTTTCTGCTGCTTATAAGATTCCTCACAAGGCAGTGGCAGGCACGCCATCATGAAGAGGGCCACACAGAAAAAGAGAAGAGAGAGGAGACATTTGGACTCACAATTGTGCATGTATATGGACTTTGAAGCAAGGATGTAGTCCTGGTCCTATACCTTAAATATAGCTAAAGATTCTGATTCCCCAACAGTCTTAGCTATGAATGATTGAAAATTCAGGATCATCACTTCCTACTTGTTTCTAAAAGCTATTCTTTGGATTGGGATGTGGGGATACACCAGCCTCCTGAAAAATATCCATAATCTTGGTCTGTACGTAGCACTCCTGTTACAGTTAGGACAGTAAAGTAACTTGGTAGATGAACTGCTGACAAGTAGATTTAATGTATCTGTTTCATAAGTTGACCACTTCTGACAAAGAGGAAGAGGGAAACTTAATTTGGCATGGCATGCATGCCTGCATCAGTCCAATTCTCTAATTTGTTGCTGCCTGAAAGCTTATTTTGGTGGGTATTGTGTCCAGGAATGACACATAACTAGAACTGGCAGGATGTCAAAAAACTTCCAAAAACAGCTTAAACAAAAAAAAATCAGCTGACCTGTGGAAATGTGAAATGCACATTTAGAAACACTCAGAGCTGGAATGTGACTATCTAACAACAACATGAATATCACCAATAAAGACATTTATAAATAGCCATATTTTTATTTTTAAGTTACTCTGAATTTCCAAACCTCTTAAAATGTTACCTCAAGACTCCCAAATTCACTAAGGTAGGTATCTAAGGACTGTTAATCTTATTTTTACTGCTGGGGAAACTGAGGCAGAGAGGTTCAGTGACTTACCCAAGGCCACAGAGGGAGTCACTGTCAGAGCCGGGATTAGAGCTCAGGAGTTTCTGGCTCCCAGTCCCAAGCTCAGACCACTAGATCATGGCCTCAGGACATTTCCAGCTGGTCTTCAGTCTAAAAAAAAGTAAATTCTCAAGTATGTTACACATATGTAACATATATACATATTTCTCTTTACTTTGAATTTATTGGTATCAATGAGAACATTGCTTGTAAGTCAGTGATGAAAAGCAAATCAGTACCTTTTATCTGAGCTACCTTTATCACACATATGTGTATGATAAAGCTCTGCAGAAAAATCTTGATTTAAATAGCAGCCAATACAAACAGCTATTGTATTTTTCAGGGTAAGGAGCAAATTGCCTTTCCAACCCAGCCAGCATGTCATTTATATTAATAGTGAGGAGTGCTAAGTCGCTCTGTGTGTAAGTAAACTCTATTAAGAAAGTCACGTCCCTTGGTGAAGCTAGATCCTTAGTAAATTTTACTAGCTAAGCACTGAGCTCCATGTCAGAGTAATTACACCTTTTATCCACTGTGAGCTCTCTCTTAGCTTCTTCATACTCCTTAATTTCCCACTTCAGCTAATTTAGCAGTAAAATTGCAAAGGTTTTAAAAGGTTAGCTACCAAGGAACTGGTGCATGAATGTTCTGTTAAGCTCCACGCATTGAAATCACATCATGTAGAAGAAGGAATTAATTAAGTAACAATTAGGTAGTGATGGATCATTGACAATATATATACACTTTGGTGCTAAAATTAATCTCCCCTGTAAATCCAATACATCGTGTATCTTCTCTACACACTGGCAAGTTTTATACTTGAAATATAAAATGGACAGACACTTCAGCAATATCTTAAAAAAAAAGGCATATCTTCTACATACTATTTTAAAAAATCATATAGTTTCATTTGTTTGTGAAGAACTGAAAAAGTAATGAGAACAGAAAAGGGAGAAGCAATTTTAATGGCAGGTGATTTTAAAGTGACTGTAAGGACATTTGTTATATGAAAGTACTTAGCATGTTGAAAGTGCTAACAATTGTGTAGTATTCTCTTGCTGTCTTCTTTTACAAGCTGCCATATTGTTTCCTTGTATTGACACTCCGCTGCTTAATACACAGATTGGCAGTTAGCCCGGTCAATCCTCAATTCTAAAAGCCTCTTAGCAGATGAAAAATCTTTGGTTCATTCACACCTTGTAGAAAGGATGACAGGGCAGAAGTGACATCCAGATCCATTTAGAGCATACTTTGAGTCTGATTTCCCTTTCCCTTGCACCTTGTGTAGTCATTTATAGCTATGCAAAGTGAGTACAAAATGGATATAAACCACTGCTACTCCTGAGGAGAGAGTTCTGATTTGGTTGCATTATTTCCAGAGGTGATCACAAAAGGTGCCAGGCAGTGAAAAAATTTGGCTCTGCATAGAAAGTCGAAACAATTTTGACACAAAGTGTAAAGTAGCAGCAGCACTTTCTAAACTATTTACAGAAATTGCACTTTTGTTTTGGAGCAATAGGTATTTTCATTTGCTGTTTGCTTAGTATTTTCATAGAAAAAATACTAAATTTTAAACTCATCTACAGAAAACAAATCCCATTTTTTCCTTTTTTAGGTGGAAACATAGTTAACCTGAAGTATATTCTCACATGAAAAAGAACTCATGTCCTACATAAGATCTCCACTAGATCTGCCTTTCCATGTGCTACTTCTGAACCCAGTACTTAGAAAGTTACACTTCTACACATCCTCCTGCAGTCAATGAAAAAGCTGGTATTATCACAAGAGCTGGTCTCAGTCCATCCGAGCTCAAAACTGTTCTGACTTTAGTATAGGTGGCAAATTATTGTCCCAGGTTTACCAAACAGTGATATCACTGCTACATGATCTACCACTGCTATCATAGTGTAAGACCTACCACCAAGTAGCTTCAAGATACAAACTAATATTAGGAGGAAAGGCCTGCAAATATTAGATAAACAAATGTGTGTTAACAAAATTGACAGTTAACAAATTAAGGACCTAATCTGGCTGTTGCTTGAGATGTGGTCAAGAATTATTTCTACTTAATAACAGACATTTAGTGTATAATAATCAATTCAATATGTTTGGACACTTATTTCCCCATAGTACCCGGTGGCCATTTTTCTGGGCCCTCCCAGTCAGAAATCCTTCACGTTACGCTCAGATATCATGATGGGCCTGTCAACTCAGGTGTGTTGATTAGAAGCAGAAATAGAAATTACTTGACTGCATCAGCAGCTGTTGACCTAAGAGTACTGCTACAGTAAATAATGTCACTTGGTGTATCTGTTAGAAAATTTCTTTTCTTTTAATCAGTCATGTGCTTCATAGAGTCATCCTAAGATACAGTTCCCAAACCTATTACTATTGTCCAAAGATCACTCTTCAACCAAATGGCTAAAGAACAAATGAACATACTTTTTTATTCTTAATATTTTAGTAATACTGTATTATAGAGTGGGTTTCTTGGGCTTTTCTTTTTTTTTTTTTTTTTTTTTTTTTTTTTTTCCCTTTTAATTTTTCCCCCTTCCCCTTCTGGATTCAGTTATTCTTTAAGTATTCTGAGTTGCTAGTCTGGCTTGACTGAAACGTACTGTGTGTTTGTTGTGTGTCTGCATGTGTGATACCAACTGTTGAAGACTGCTTGATGTTAGATGAGGGCTTATGCTCAGAGCTGCTCTACAGTTGGGTCTCTGGCAGAATCTCTCCTCACCACTGACAATGATGTCTTTATGTGGGGGAGAGTCTGTTTTAAAATATTACACTTGCCATGGCCTTAATTTTACTGGTGGGGCATGATTATGATTTCATTTACATTAATCAAAGTCATGAGTCACTCCATTCATGGCAATAGCATTAAAGAGCTATACAGACAAGTAAGAGTTCAGAATGAGGCTCTAGTGTTTAATCTGAAAGAATATCTGAATCACTCCATTAAAGACAGATACTGAAGGCTAGATCTTCTGCTTACTTTGCATTACTCAGTCATTCCATTAGCATAAAACATCAAATAAAGAACTATAATGACAGCTGGCAATGTGTCACCACCGTACACGGGTTTTCTGTTTACTTTGGGTGCAGAAAATACCCCTGAATTAATGAGATTTAAGATATTATTTCAGGTATGACAAAGTTACTGTATTAGGTCTCCTTGCCCTTGGAAGTTGGCATCAATGTTTCAGAAACTTATTTCCTTCCTTCTTTTTCCTATGTCACTCTGACATAACTTGAATGCAAAAGACCTAAAGGCAAACGATATTTAAGTAAGACTGCAGAGATTGAGTTAATAACAGTGCCCATAACAAATATTATGTCTGCTAAATACAGGATCATCAGAACAGTGATCACAATTTTTGTAGGTATCTCATAAAGCACTAGCAAACCTTCATTCTTCTTAAAAAGTGAAAAACTTGTTAATTTTCTGAAACATAGGCATTGTAAAACAATAAAAGGTTTTGTACTGGTGTCTGTCTCCTGCTCAGACAGAGAAATTGTGCACGGGATGATGGGCCTTAATTTAGTCTTCACTGATAAGTACTTTTAAGACTAAATATTCTTGAAATTGCACTTACTTAAATTACACTCAAGCTCCATGTAAATCTAAAATAAGATTATAGCGGGGGGAAATCTTTTCGAGAGGTCTGGCAAGCTATCAGAATATTGCTCTATTATATCTCTTCAGATTTTTTCCAATTTTTAAGTCAAAGAATTATTGGCATTTGGGAACATTTTCAAGAAATCTGTTTGATATATTACAGCCCCTAGAAACTATTCACTTCAAGCACATGCTCCAATACACCAAATCAGAGAGTTGAGGGTTTTATCAACAAACCAGGACCAAAAGGAAGATGAAAGAAAGGATCTTTGACTATGTTTTCTATAGGTCTTATTGTCTTATTGAAAACTAAATATCTATATGTGCATCTTGCTTGTCCAGTACAGTGGGAATAGCAACAATATTTTCTCCCCAATTCCCAATGAAAGCTTTCTTTTCACCCTGCTAGACCATGTGTTCAGTTTTATACCCTAGACTTCCTCAGCATAAGAAAATTCTTGTACAGTGAAGCAATAAGATACTGTCTTCAGGCTCAGTACAAATGTTAGTTAAACCACTGGTGCCTTTTAAAAAAACCTTGATATAATTTCAACTCTTAGTAACTGTGGGAATTACACATTTTTCTTGTCTTCGTGATAACATTGCTGTATATTTCAGTAAACACACTTGGGCACATAGCTTAATTATAAGGCAACAGGCTTTACTTATCTGTGTCAAAAAACAATTAGAAATTCTCACTCTTTGTTTTTCAATAAACTAAAGTGAATGAGAAACTGAAGAAATATAGAACAGAGAAGTGACCTACCGTGGTTGTCTTTATCCGTCCTCCTGGTTGTGTACAGGTCCAGCCTGATTTATTGATTAGCAAATCACAGCCTTCTCCTTCTAAACACGGAAGCATTTCACACCACTGTTTTGTTTTGATAATTCGTGCTATGGGACAGAAAAGAAAAAAAAAAAAACACAACCAAAAACAATTGGCAGGAGAATTCACATTTCGCTTATCTCTAAACACTTTCTCATTTGAGTTGTCTATTTTCATCATCTGATAATGCAGCCACAGGTTATGCTGTAGACAGCCCTAGGCAATTTACAAAATTATTTAGAACACCTGCTGTGCCAACAGATTTCATAATAAAAATAGAACTTAAAAACCAACAATAAAATAAAAGACAGCTCTGTTGTAAATCAAAATAACATAAAAGTTAGCTGATTTTCTAATTCCATGCTCCTTAGTCAAGGAAATATTGTTAGGGGGGCTAACAACTGAAGACTTACTATCCTAGATAATCATTATGGTAGCCTAAAAGTGACCTATGACTGGGATCCATTGTGTTACTCTGTATAAACTGATCAGACACTCCTTATCCTGAAGAACTTACAGCGTAAATAGACATCAGATACACAATGGATAGAGAAAAGCTATAATAAACAGATAACGGGGTCAACATAATGACAGCAATTGTGAAACTCTGTGATACTTGCAATGGTAGGGACATAGCTAGGGCAGGAACTAGGAACATAAAGACAGGTGTTGAATGAAGTAAAAGTTGGGAAATCATGGGGAAGCACACAATAAGCAGAGGGAAAAGACTGGAATAAACACCCTATTACCTATTACTACAACGGAAACGAAGTCTAGTCAGGAAGGTCTCTAACTGTCTGAGAGGTGGTGTGTCACGCGCTTTGTGGCTCCTCTTAATGCTTGTGTCTCTGGTCAGCTGGCTCTGCAGAATCTCCTCAAGGTCACACACAGTAAGTAGTCTCGGAACAACAGAGCTCTGACTGCATTCAAGTAGCTGCAGAGGAGCTGCAGGGAGAAATTTTTCTTCATGGCAGGAAGAAAAGGGGCTTTAATTCCTTTAGACTTCTTTCCGGATCATAATACTACTTCTTTTGAGTTCAGCTCTGTAGTATCTTGTTTCCTTCTCATAGAATATTAAGCAACATGACTAATAGCTAATATTTCATTATTCTGTCACTCTACCCCTGTAGGCAAAATTGTAGGGTGGAGTATTAGTTTAGGATACTTTTTATAAAATACATATACAGAGATGCACTCACTTGCATGGTGCCATATACCTGTACTAAACAAGGTAAGGTCCCCCAAACGATCTACCTTTTGCTCAGACTGTAAGGCTGGCAGCCCACAGAAAATGGTCGTCAGCTCCTTCAGAGATCATCTCAGCAATCCTGGGCTAGACTACATGAAAGCTTCACCACCTCAAATTGTACCTAAGTGTCCTAGGATTCAAGGGCAGAATGAGTTCCATATACAGGGAAACAGATCACGTCTTCCTCTGCGTTGATGTGTGACACCAATATATCTTCATGCAATATATCTGCAACAGTCATGAGCCCAACAAAAAGAGAACTACAGGAGAAATACTTCACAAGATAAGCACACAAGAAGCTTATGATGCTCCAAATTAATTCTGGGTCCAAAGAGCTTAAAAGCTGGCATTTTTACCCAGTGGCAGTTGCAGCTCTTGATGCTCACCTGAATGTGTGATTCAGTCTCCCTACATCCCTGACTTCCTCTGTCTGGAACTACTGAAGAATAGAATTCCCAGTGCCACTGGATCATGGCAAGAAATAGAAGTCTAATTTAAGGTCTTTTAATAAAACCCTTTCCAATATTTTGACATAAAACAACTCGTGTCCTCAGTCCCGCTACAATTGTTGGTAAGCTCTAGCAATATAACAAACACTGATTTCTTTCAGTGGAAGCTCAATCTGAAATTTATATTAAGATTTTCATCATACACTTTAGCTCCCAAAAGTCTACATAGGAATTTGCACTGTCCATCAGGCAATATATGTATCGCTGGAGGAACGATTCCCAAACAATTTTCATAGCTACAACTTTTTGAAGCAAATCCAGTACGTTTTTATAGCACATAATATACAGAAATCTGGATTGTGCTTGGGGTCCATAGGCACTGCTCTACTGAGAACTGGATCATATCAGTTTTTGAGGCTAACATCTCCCATGTAACAGATGCCTTATCCGTTCTGAGTGAAGGCATGCATCCAGTTGCAGGCTTTACAGAAAAGGTTCAGCAAAATGTTAACACCAAACTTTGCCCATTTGCATGTATGTATTTTGCAATTCACATATTGAAATGGCTATTTCTATCAATGTTTCAACAATATGAAGGATCACTGAAAGTCTGAATAGTATGTTAAACTCAAAAATGTGTACTAGATTGCCTCTATTATCTCAGGTGAGAGGTTTTACTGGAAATGTAATTTGAACATTTTTTTAAAAAAATCTCACTTTTGTGAATTCTTCTCAGTGTTTGCTTGGTTGCTATCTCAGAATGCAGCTATGGGTAATATCACAAATATAAGGAGTCCTTGCTCTGGGTATTGGCTATATCCACACAAATTTAGAACACACCAAGAGTATTTTACAGAACATAAAGTCTAAAACATTTCTGTGTTAAGTGTATGGACTAGCTCACGCATTTAGGCCTTGAGAATCAGAACAACTTCTTTTACAGGGAAAAAAACTACCCGGCTCACATGGTTTAAAGCACATCAGTAGCAAACCGGTTTATTAATTCATTAATGATACATAACCAGCAGCAGCGCGGGATCAATATCAGTAATGCAAGAAGGTAAACCATAGTACGGGACACGAAATGTTCATAAACACTCGGAAATTCCCCCACACCCCCTCGGATCTAACCCCTGCCCCGGCCCCCCGGGGTCTCTCCTCCCCTCCCAGACCTCCACAGGTGTTGTATCCCTCCTCTCCACCCGCCTCTCGCTCTCTCAGAAGAGCCTCCCGAGCACCTCCGCCCTCACGCTCCGGCCTGCGGGGGCCTCCTGGGCGGGGAGGCTGCCATGGCGG